CAGCTGCTGGGCTGGGATCCATTAATCATTATCTCAGTTCTGGAATCCTCATGGTTTGAGGGACTTTTCCATTTCAGTGAAATGGTTCTCTCTCCTTGCATTGAGTTTAGTCATGTGAAATTCTGCTTTTCCCGGAATCCAGATTATCACAGGTTCAGAATAATAGCTGGAGATGTCTGGCCCCTGTAATCTTCAGTCTCAGTGTCCCCAGTCTTGAAAGGAGCAGACCAAGATCCTGCAGATTGAGAGCTGATCACCTTGTCATTCAACCTTTAAACAGACACTGCCTGAATGGGTAACATACCTGTGTACAGAGCTGAGGAAGAATTTGACCCAAAGTTTTACAGTAACAGAGGCTACAAAATGAAGGCCAGGTTTTGTTTTGCTTTTGTTTCGCTATTGGACATTTATTGACCCAGGTGAAGAAGCATGGTTTTAAGCAAAATAGCTTTCAGGCCCTTGACTGATCCCAAAGAAAACACATAAAAATCATGCTTTTAATGAGTAACTAGCTAAAGGGGTGGGGCCCGCCCTACCCATGCCCGCCGTATGGTGATCTCTGTCACGACTGTCACCACTTCTGCCCTGTAATATAAATCCTACAAAAGGAAATACTTTTCCATCTTGTGTTTTTCATTGTGTCCACAGTGAACAGGACAGTGCCTATATGTAACACTCAGCAAATGCATTAATACAGAGTGACTTACTTGGTCATCTTGGTGATTTTTCACCGGCAGATTCCCCTTTCCACAAACTGCCCTGCCCAGAAACTAGGTGGTTACATGGCTGCATCTTGGGAAGTTGCAGGGAAAAAGTAATGTATTGAGAGATGTTTTTCTATCTTTAAAAAATAAAATATACAAAAGATGTCAATATTGAAATACATCTTTTCCATATCTGCTTCTCCTTTGCTACCTAACTCTTACATAAGATAGATTCACATGTAAATAAAGATGACTGGGGCAGAATAAAGAAAGTCCTCATATATACAAAAAAATTATAAATTACAGAAGTTCTTAACTACCAGAGGAGCTATATTAGGGCTTGTAGAAAAAAGGTTTTTACATAATGAAAAAAGGTTTTGCATAATGAAAACCGTGCATTAACAATGTTTAAGAACTCTTATGAATCAAATACAATCTGTTATAATCAAATCTTTATTCTTGCAGAGGAAGTGATAGAAAAAATGCTGAAAAACAGTCTAAATTATGTTTATTCAATAGTCCGACAGACAGTGTCTCCTCTGGGGCTGGATTGGTTCAGACTCAAAATGCACCTACCCCCTTTCTTTGCCTAGGTTAAAATGTACTAAGAATGGATACCTAATCAAACCCTGCACTAACAAAGACACATTAGGTTTTGCTCATTATTTTTTATTTCTGCATAAAGACTGTCATTAACTAAGATTAAGTGATTAATGATGAATTATCCTTTTTTCTGGGCATCAAGGTAATCAAAGCCTTAAAATTGTATTTTCAAATTGGCTGGCATCTAATGCCATCTTTATGATAAGATTTGAAGAAGACCTTAAGAAGAGATACTAGAAACAGTATTTTGCGGCCAAGAGAGATTGTCACACCTAATTTTACATAGGAAAAAAATGAAATTCAGAAGGTTGGGAAGGTCAAATTCAAAAGATTCTTTCTTTAAGTGTTCATAAAAGGGATTTTTTTTTTTTTTTATGTACCCAGGCTTTGGGGACAAGAGCCCAAGTCTGAGAGCAGCCAAAGAAAGTCTACTGGAACATACAGAAAAGAGCTTCAATTGAGGACCAAATGCTGCCTTAACAATGTTGCACTGGATGAGTTCTTTATTTTCTAGCATAAGGCTAATAAAGGCACAAGATATTGTAAGAGCTAAGTGAAAATACACTCATTTAAAAAATTAGAGTTTAGTCATTGCTTTATCCACGTCGATGTGATGTTGCTGGACATATTTTATATGTATTTTCCATTTCTGTCAGTCCTGTTAGAAGCATTAACTCTATTTTATGACTGAGGGAACGGAGGCTGAGAGGAATTAAGAAATTTGCCTACCGTCATACAGCTAGCACCTGACATTACAATTTGGACCCAGATCTGTGGAACAACAAATACTCTCCTGCATTCCTTGACACTAGAGTAGCTGAGGCGCTTAACCTAGCAATGTCTAATATCTGCTATGAGGAAATAAAGAAAAAGCAGGGATCACTGGAAAGCTTTGCAAACTTCTAAAAGGCAAAGTGGTACAAATAAACCATTCCCTAGGGGTTCTTTAATCCATAAGAAAATAAGCAAAGCCACTGGTACGTGAATACTGAAATTTGTTCATTCAGAAACATCTTTTGAACCCACGTAAAGGCACATTACTAACCACTGATTTACTAATCTGGCACAGATTTATTAATCTGGCACTTGTTTTATTTTTTTAAATCAAAGTTGCATTTCCTAGGACTTATATTGTACTTAAAATATAGGAAAACTGTCTTTCTATAACTCACATAGGTGGTATTTATTCCTGTTTTATTTATTTACTTCTGGACAGGTATATAGTTTTAATGTTCTGTGTTTTGCTTTGATGTCTCTATTTGACTGTACCAATAAAGACACCAAGTTCTCTATCGAGGCTATAATGCTTCCTTCCCCCATTATTGTTTGTGGGATGAATGTAATGCAGTTTTTGATAACCAGCTTTAAAATGTCAGTATTATAGAGGAAGAAAACATTCTATGCCCTTCTCCCATTCAGTAGTGGATTAAGTCAAGTGGGGTGGAAGAGGTGGATATTGTCTTGTTTTGATTTAATTTTATTTGATCCCTTGCTTTGAAAGTTAACTAGATTGTTTTGAGAGCTATCTTAAAGAATAAGGAGGTAAAGGGGACACAGAATTTTATGATCTAAAGTGTCTCCAGGTAGCCAGATTAAAAATATGGTGACAGCAATTAATTATATAATTAAATTTTATAGTTTAGAGCTTATAAAAGATAAAGCTAATGCCTATAATCCCAGTACTTGGGAGGCTGAGGCAGGAGAATCCTTCCAAGTTCAAGACCAGCCAAGGCTACAAAGTGAGCTGAAGGCCAGCCTGAACCACATGGTAAGACCCTGTCTCAAAAAGACAAAAAGTATAAAGCTGAAATGACAACAAAGGAAGGCAGAGTTACATGATGGGAGTTAGGTTCTAAGTGCTTGCAGTGATAATTTCCCTTCAAAATCCCATAGAATTCAAAGGGCTCACATTTGTGTGAGCCCCTGAAGCCTAAAACAAAGCAAACAACAGCACATTTACATCTCCTACTTTATGCAGTAGCTGGAATTTAAGTGTATTGAAGAAACTGAAACACTCAGATACTATCTCAGTTTTTTCCTCTGCTTTCCTTTGGTCTAAACTCTTTCTACTATAATCCCACCCATTAAATACGTCTACAGGATGTGTGACTCAGAATCATTCCATCCCTACAGGACTCCACCTTCAGGAGGAGCGTGCAGAAGTGCTTTCCTAAGCATGTTCTTCAGTGCTCTTGAGGATCCAGAGCAAGGAGAGTGCTCTGGGTTTGTCATCCCTGCCCTCCTCCTCTCCACATAAAAGCTTGTACCTGTCTATCTCAGGCAGGAGTCCATATTCTAAGTGCTTGATAAGATGCATTTGAACCTGACACAGTGGTCCATACGTGTGGCCCCAGCTTCTAGGGAAGCCAAGATAGGATGATCACAAGTTCAAGGTCAGTCTGGACTTTTTAACAAGATGCTGTCTCAAAATAGAGAGGGCAAGGTATATTGCTCAGTGGAAAAGCAGTTGCCTAGCACATGTGAAGCCCTGGGTCCAACCCCAAATACCACATCAAAATAAAATAAAAGTATTTGGAAACTTAAACTACTTAAAATCTTTTTTTTTTAATTTATAAACTATTCAGGTAAACCAAAAGTCTGCATTTTTTTCTCTACTGTTTCTCTAACAGTGTGGTTTGGAAAATGTCACTTAATCTTTCTGACTTCAGTATGCACATTTATAATGTAAAGGCTTTGGCCTAGATATCCTAAATGTATGATACCTGTGCTAAAAACAAGCTAAAGCAGAGAAATTTCTGGAAATAGCAGTGCCAGCCTGGTCTCACTAGTAATGAGCTGGTTCCATCACAGAACGTGTTCCCTGAGTGCTGCTGAGGTAATAAGGAGATGGAAGGAGAGACCACTCCCCTCACTGGTGAAGAAAACCAGTAATTACCCTGCCAGAGGCGGCCCCATTACAGCAGACTGTCGTTTCTGGGTTTACTATAACTATTTGTTTACTCAAGATATTTATTTTTCCTCCTGACAAAAATGAACATTTTTTTTCTTAGCAGTTAGCAGACATTTCCTCAAAAATTATATGTTTGCCTGCTTTTTTATTTTTTAATTTTGGTAGTGCCGAGTATTGGACCAGTACCTCACACATGCTGTGTGAGCGCTCTATCACTCAGCTTCATCCCCAACTTTATTTTTAAAAAAGGACCTAGAATGGATCGTTCTGTAAAGAATTTGAAAAGAGGTGGTGATGCAGAGTTTTCAAGAGTTAAATCTGCTGACGGGGAGGGAGGGCATTTTGATGGTGCTTAGAAGCGCATGTTAAAACACTCTTTGTCACGTTAGTTAAAATATGTGCAGGTACCTAAAAGACTTTGAAGTTGGTAGCCAGTGTCGTCATTTTCTGTGGTTTATGGATGCGCAGTTCTCAGGTGGCCCTCCTTTTGTTTTCACGCCTTTCCAAACGTGCCTGCTTTCATCACTTGCCGCCGGCCACCTCTCAATGAAGTCTGGGGCCTTCCGGTCTCCGCTTTTTTCTCGCCTTCACTGAACTGAGCAAGGCAAAACTGACTTTATCAAGAGCGCCCTCTAAAGGACAGACTGGGGGAACTACAGAAGTTTTCCTTCAACTTACACATCATACCTGTGACATCACATCTCAGGAGGAGAAGGAGGAATGGATTTCATGAGATGCAACAGTTTGCTCATTTTTTTCTTTTTGCTCTTTGTCCCCATTAGGTCAGCCACCATCCACCTATCTCTGCATGTCATGCTGAGTCTGGAAATTTTGTGTTCTGGCAAGGTAATGTGTTAATATATTTGACCTCCATTTCTGGGAACAGTACAGATATATTTTACTCAGGAATTACCATCAATGCTTGCTGAGGTCAAAAGTGGTCCCGGGACTTGGATCCCATTAGAGGATCTGCTCTTCTTGATGTTCTCACCTCCCACTTCTGAACAATAGTTGAGATTTGACAATTATGAATTGATGCTACTTTAACTGATAATTGATTGCTGTAAAGTCTTTAGGGAGATCATTTGGCTTTCACCTTTAAAGAACTCCTCCATCTTTATCTGGATCACTACCAGTCACTTCTGTACCTTTTCCCGCATTCCTCCTATTTCTTCAGAGCCTAAACATCAGAGACATAAATTGGTGCTTTTTTTTTTTTTTTTTTTTTTGGTACTGGGGATTGAACTCATGGCCAAGTGCTTGCAAGGCAGGCGCTTGCACCGCTGAGCTAAACCCCCAGCCCTATTGTTGCTTTTGAAACATCTAAATTTTATTTCTGGAATCATATTTATACTGTTGCTTTGTTTTCAGTTTTGAGTTTGTTGTTCCTAAAATCGTTTAGTTTAGAAAATATTTCTTAGGTAGGTTAATTAATTTTGTTAAAGTCATCATTTTAATCAGAAAGTTGGAGGGCAGTATACACAGAAAACATGAGCATCTTGGGGTTTTCTTATATCAGTTTTTAGAACATCTTTCTTGACTAAAATGATAATCACCTGACTTCCCACCTGATAATTCCTGATTTTTTGATAATTTCTGATTTTAACAGTACAGAAGAATATACAGCATCATTTCCCCATCTCTATCCCTTCCCCAACTACCCAGTTCTTCTATAAAGATATGATTGATATTACCAGTTCAAAGTATGATTTACCTGCTTTTTTATTTCTTAATTTTGGTAGTGCCAAGGATTGGACCCAGTACCTCACACATGCTGTGTGAGTGCTCCATCACTCAGCTACATCCCCAACTTTATTTTTAAAAAGTACCTAGAATGGATCGTTTTGTGAATAATTTGATGATTTCCTTTCTTACAGTTTGCTATTAAAATTTAAAATTGAAGCTTGATTTGAAATTTTCCTACCTTTTACCAAAATCCTCTAGAAACAATTCTCATAAGGTTCCTAACATTCTAACTGCTAAACTTGTTGACCCTGTAAGCACCTCTTTTTTGTTATTTTAAAAATTACATATTTTCTTAGTAGGAGGAGGTCTTCTCAAAGAAGTTTCTATGAGCTCTCTATGTGATGTGTTTCCTCCTTAACTCACTCCTAATCATTCATTTTCTGGGGAATTCTTTCATATTAGTCTTTTCAGAATAATTCTACCTATTTCTATAGGTCTGTGACTCTGAAATCGTGATTTTTTTTATCCAATCTGACATTTCTCTGCATTTTGATTATGTTGCTTAATCCACTTACATTTATTATTGTTATAGATATAGTTGAGTTTAAATCTGCCCTCTAATTTGTCAGATCTGTTCTTTGTTCCGCATTTTTTCCTTTTCTGCCTTCTTTTTGATTAATTGAATGCTTCCTTTAATTCTATTTTATCTCCTCTGTTGATTGGTTAGCTTTGCCTCTTTGTTCTCTGCTATAGTTGTTACTTTAGGATTTATACATTCATTAATTATTCATCTGTTATCAAATAATGTTATGTCATTTTACATATAATATAAAAAATTAAGAAAATAAATTTCTGTTCCTTCTCTTCCAAACTTTGAGCTTGTATATGTTACAACCTCCCATATGTTGTTATGTTATATATGTTTGTTATGTATATATGTATGTTATGTATGTTTTCCTTTTTTTCCCATTAGGTAATACATAATTCACCTTTTTAAAGTGGATTTTTATTTTAGTATTCACAGAGTTGTAAAGTCATAGCACAATTAATTTTAGAACATTTTCATCATTCCAGAAAGAAACCTCTAGCAAATACTTTCCCCTCCAGTTTTCCTCAGTAACCTTAGCTTCAGGCAATAGCATTCATCTATTTTCCATCTGTATAACTTGCTGACTTTTGGCATTTTGTGTAAAGAGAATCATATACTATGTTCCTGGACCTCCCCACACCTAGATGCCTCCTGGACCCAGCACCATCCTGGTCTCTAGCTCTAGCCTCCCTGCTGCCTGCTCCTGTCCCACCCACTGCAGCCTTTCCATCAGGACCATTCCCCAGGCTCTCTTCTGCTGTCTCCTCTGTTGGTGTACCACTGGTGCAAGTTAGGAAAATCTGACCTCATTTGTAAACTTTCCGTTTCCTTCTCAACCTGTATCTAATTTTCTACTCTTCCTACCTCTTTCATAGTTAGAGGATCACTGCATCACTCTAGCTATTACCCATTTGTCCCCTGGGCAACCACTATAGCCTCTCGCTGCTTGGATTTCATCTCTTCTTCACATAGCTCCCATTTGTCTGCAGGATCCGTGTCTGATCACATCAGTTCCCTGTTCGTTTTCTCCCAGTGCACACAAACCAGACCTCCTAGCCAGGCTTGTGGACCCACTCATTTTTGTTCTCTACCTGACTTTCTGCTCTTCCCTAGATAATCTCAAGCCTCTGAGATAACACACATCATACTTTTATATGTTTATCTCCTTAAGCTGTTTTTTCTACCTTAAATTGCTTTTTTATCTTCGTGGAGGATTCCTGCTATTTTCTAGAAGGCCCCACTGAGATGACTCCTTCTGAAAAATTTTGATGTCTTGCCCAAGCATTTCTTACTCTTTGTTTCCATTTTACCTGACTTGGTTACTTTTTCTCTAGTTGCTAAGACACCCAAAATGAAGGAAGGGAAGCTTACAGATTTTGGAGGTTTCAGTCCATATTCAGCTGGCTCCAAGGCAGGGTGGCATGGCTAAGGGGCAGCAGTTCATGGTGGCCTCAACCATCAAGAGAGAAAAAGGCAAGAAAAGTGGAAAAGCACACCTCTTTCCCTCCCCTATTTTGTATGCTGGCTCTCTACTCCTGGGCAAGTACAGAAGTCACACTGCCAATTCCAGTGCTAGACAAAGAGCCCATCACAAGCACTAGATTCAGCCGCTGCCATGTTTGCATGAGGCTTTTGGGGGACACTCAGACATAAACCATAACATCATCATAGAATACACTCAGCTATAGGTTATGTCTCTCTGTGGTGTATTACTTGTTTTTACTTCTATTTTCTATCCCTTAATTTTTCCAATTTTTTTGATTCTGTTTCAAGTGCCTAAGTTGGTCCATATATTGCATTAAATTTTTCCTATACAATAATTAATCTGATTTTAAAAATTGTACTGTATAGTGATTATTTATGTAGACTAAGTATTCTTTGATCTGACTTGCTGTTCTGCTAAACAAATAATATTGGCTATTTCATTTCAGATGTGAGATGGAAAAATAAATTCTGGGGCAAATCCATGGAAATTGTTCCAATCGGCACAACCCATGTGACTCTCCCAGCGTAAGTTCTTCTGAGTTAGGAACTTCACAGAATTTAGAAGTGGGAAGCACTGTTGGGTCAGGGTGCCCACCACCCCCATAGCCTGGGGAGTATGGTTTCCCTTTGAGCTGTTTGGCAGCGACATCAAATGTTCCTCTTCTGGGCGAGCTTGGATTTTCTTTTTCCCAAGCGGAGATGCTGCCTGCAGACCTATGTCTTCTGAGCTGATGCTTTTTAAATATCTACTCCTACTTCCTATCAAGGTTAAGAGTGGTAGTTTTCTTTAACATTATTGCCCTGCCTTAATGTCAGAATTCCTTTTAAGAAAGATATGTCTTTCCTCTGACAAGGGTTACTGATGTTTATTTATAAAGCCTGTGAGCAGGGTCTCTGGAATGAGGCTGCTGTGGGTCAGTGCTCACTGCCTCAGTGATGTGGTGGCCACCTTTCTCATGACCAATGCCCTCATTTGAGACCTGGGGGTTATAAACCACTCCTTCACAGGACAACTGTGCAGATCAAACAGTTAATTTACATAAAGTACTTAAAACAGCACTCGGCATATAGCATATGCTGCATACTTAGGCTCATCTCAGTTTCCTCATGATTCTTATTTAATTCTGTAAATAATAGCTGAATAATTCCTCTTTGTGAAAGATATAATTGTCAAATCATATAAACCCTGTAGCTTTTCCCCACCACCTTGTATTTCCTAGCGGCTAGCTCTATCATGTCATGCCTGGATCCCAGTTGCCTCCTTTGTTGAAGGAGGGAGAATGTGGTTCAAAGACCAGGACCTTCCAACAAAACCTTCTGTGGCTTCCACAGTGCACACTGTCCTTTGTGTGTCTCGAGTGACTTCTTGGAGCTTGGAGCTCATGTGTCACCCGTGCAGTGCTGATGCAGTGTGGGGTTGGTGAACAAAGAGATGAGTGATTGTGATTTATTTTATAAAATAGCAGTATTGGTTTACAGCCATTGCTGGATTTTCTGGGCATTATCACTCTTACTTCTCCCTCTGTTTCAGCTTTGGAGATCATTTTGCATGGAACAAGGTGACCTCTTGCATCCACAACATCTTAAGTGGGCAGAGGTGGATTGAACACTATGGAGAGATTGTCATCAACAACTTGAATAATGACTCCTGCCACTGCAAAGTGAACTTCATAAAGGTAATTCAGGCAGCTCTCTGAGCTCTGGCTGGGGGGACTGAGGCAGACATGGAGCCTGAGGACACAGGCTGTCTGGGCGTTACAGCTTCACAGTGGTCTCAGCCAACAGACAGTGCAAGCACCTCCTGATCCAGCCAGACCTCTGTTGGCTGGAACAGAAGCATGATCCTTCTTGGCCTCTCCCCTGACCTAACTCCTTGATGATCTGTCCTTGGTGCGCATCTAAAAGGGCCCTTTAAAAACATTAATCATCCACAACATGGTTGCAGGTCGGAGACCTTATGCTGAGTAAAGTAAGCCAGACACAAAAGGCCACAATGCAGCATCCCACTTACATGTGGTCCCTAAGAGGAGTCAAATTCATAGAGACAGAAAGCAGAGTGGAGGTTGCTAGGCCTAGAGGTGGGAGAAATGAGGAGTTAATATTTAATGGGTATGGAGTTTCCCTTTGGGAAAATGAAAGTTTTGGAAATGGTATGATGATTGCTCAGCATTGTAAGTGTCATTAATAACTTTGAGTTTTCACTTAGGCATCGTTCAGATGGTAAATTTCCTGCTTCTTTGTTCTACCATATCATTCTTTGAGCTAAATCCTCC